GCAAATTTTCAGTGTACCCATATGTTGCGACATCCAAGGCTCGCATTTGATTGGCTATCTGTGAGTTTCTTTGATTATTGACCAATCAGAATAACTGGTTTGCTTCTTTCTTTGCGATGAACTACCTGGAAACTGCTTTTATCTTAACCAATCAGAAGTGAGTAATTTTTTCATGTATATTATAAGGGATAAAATGCTTCAATCGTTTCCTTTTTTGTCAAGAAGAGAAGCAGGTGAACGTGCGTGTGCAATTATATTACATCCGACCACTTAGATCTAATACAATAGAAGACCATAGAAGCAACGCTTAACTAATTAGCATTCATCTTTAAGAAAATATACAGAAGCAAAATACTCTCAAACATTATTGACCCAAAAAATGCTTAATATACAGAGGAATGGTATAAACACAACATTAATCTTGTGTCCGTCAAAGCTGTTCCTTTATCGGAATTAGAATCAGTACTTGTTTGATACTAAAGAATGGCTCTTAAAATCAATCGGCTTTGAATAATTATTTAACAACGAAAGAAGGGAGCAGAACGATGGGCAAAATTCACACAGAATCGAAATAATAAAGATGATTATCATCGGCGACGATTAATTATACGCGGCACCTATTGAGCGGGTTAAAAACCGAATTTTCTCAATGTTCTCAATGCTCCAAATGGAACCAAAATAAATAAATAAATAATACCTTTATCAAGGGTGCTTCTCCGAGTATGATTAGATTTTCGCTGATCGAAGTCGAAAGTCGCTATATATAAATATTCCTTCCGTAATGACATAAACAAACAAAAAGGAAGACGGTGCTGTTGTCTTTGCATTAAGATGTATTTTAGAATCCATTTATCATTTATGTCGATGACCTCACTTTAAATCGAGCCAATAAGAGGACACGAACAGTGTGGGCTTACAACCATATGGAGAATGAAATAAACTTCTGAATAAACAGGTTTACTGAACTAAAATTTTATTACCACTTTGTTCCTTCATAATATTCAATCCAGCACGTTGAAAAACCTACATCGAGAGTCATCAACTGAGGAATCCTAATGGCCATTAAATAGTTGTGAAAGCACCCTTACGCATGAAACGTTAAAGGCGTTTCAAATGAGAAGTAACCTTTGACGCTAAATATTTCTTATTATTATCCAACCACACTCCGTAGAGTACAAATAACGCCATAGACGAGTACAAATATCACGCGGTATTTGTACTCCAGAGAACCAGTTAGACAGGGTCTCTCTCATCGCGCAAGCGAAGAATTGAATTGAAGTTACGAAAAACAAAAATGGTGGACAATTTGAATCATATTTCTGACGAAGAAGAGTCGGAATGGCTGGCAATTATAAATGTAAGTTTACTAGATGAATCGAACGAAGAAAAAATAGTTAGACAACCAGAAAATGTATTCATTTATTGAAAAAAGTAGAAACAGCAACACGACAACGCGCTAATTCCGTTCCGCTTCGCACACTTCTGTCACGCACTTCCCGTAAATAAATATCCGCGAAATTCGCCCACACTGAAATAAAAATTTGGCTTCTTGGATAATAAATAACTTATTAGACGTTTTTTTGTGTAGTATCGCTGAGTATTTTTACTCGTTAAAATACGGAACAAGTCGTAAAAATACTCAGCGATACTATAAAACAAAACGTCTAATAATATATATTCCGTGAAAATAGTTTGTTACGTGCATGGTAAAGACTGCTCTATTAGAATAGAAAAGGCGAGAATGATAGTTATAATTGCGATAACGATGATGATGATCGATGAATGTTTTAAGAAAGCATTACAAACCATCCTAATAAAATGAATAATGATAAGCTATAAATAGGTAAATCTTCACGATTTAGTTCTAATGTTTACAAAGACCGCGGCTGATCGGCATTTAACATATTGTTCTCTTTGTTAATCAAAAATTAAAATTATGACATCATCATTCTTTTAAATCAGCCAATCAAGTAAGAGAACCATGACGCTTGCACCCATCTGGTGTCAAATAACATAACGTCTAGTAACGTCATTAGATTGTTTCATCCGAAGGCTGTCAAAAAAAATGTTTTTCCATTTTCCAGCAGTTTTTAATTATTTTTTCTTTGTTTTTCTCGTGTTTAGCTAGTTTTTGTTTCTCGATTGAAATTTGTATCCTTTTTGTCTGGAGAGTTATCACTAATTGGCAAGCGTTCAGTTGGGATCAAGCGGCCAACAAAAAAAATTAAATTTGAACGCCCACAATGCAAATTAACTACATAATTATTTCACACCACCGACAGGTACTGAGAAAAATGTTTTAGAAGGTCTTTTAGATATATATGTATATACACACCCACTTTTTATTTCTTTTTCAGAATTTCAAAGTGTCTCCAGTTATTTTATTATCATTATTATTTTTCTTCTTTAGTTCTTTTTCTTTAAATGTATTGTTTTAAGGCAAAATGCTGCCTTGTTTTTTTTGTCTGTTTTTTTTTTTTTATCTATATCATTTTTTTAAGAGGAAAATTGCGTGAACATGCGAATATAAGCTGTTGTTTGGCTCTCCATAAAATGTTTTGTATAAGGACCCTTCCTCGGGGCGTATACAGTCAGTATACCCAATTGTATACGGTGAATATAAGGATGTGTAAGGTCCGTATCGTGATCAGTGCACATCAGGGTATGCTAAGAAAATACCAGGACCGTATACACAAGTGGTATGATGTCTTATATTTCAGTATTCATGCCTTTATACATCATGAATACTGTGTGTGACATGAGATATATTGGTATGTATACTGGGCTGATATACGGGTTCTTATACTTCATATTGAATTCCTCAGTTATAGCTTAGGGTACAAACTAGTGTACGTACATATTGGACACTGCTTTGAGTCGAATATTAATGAATTCTGGGATTATCTACGGACTGATATGTTTTTAATTGGATTTATTGCATTTTGGGGCTGAATCAATCCAATTGTAAGGGCCAAAGTAGACCATGTGAAGGGTAAATTTGAAAAATACTGGGGCCTCTTTGGAATTTAAGGGGGGCCAAAACAGCCCCAAAATATTCAGCCCTCTCACAAATGGCCCCTTTAAAAATAGCCAATATCTCAGCTCCAATGAAAGTCAAACTCAGAAGTAGAGGGTTCTTTCCTCTGCACAGTGATTTCCCCCACTACAGTCAAATTATGAATATACACTGCATACTTTAATCTTTCAAGTACTAATTTATTTAATTGTAAGTATTGTTACTGTTAAAACCTTTTGCAGACCGTGATTTTAAAGTTATGAAGAATCTTTATTATGGTATAAATGGACAAACATCATTCGAAAGAAAAGAACAATAAATATACACATTTTTAACTTTAATGCAACCATTTTCTAAAATATATCTCTTCACTAAATCAGTATACTTCTCAAAATTGCAACCACTGCTTGAAATTACACACAAGAGACACTTGTAAGTAAAGCATCCCCTTTTCAATGACTCAACAAATGTGGTATGAGCCAGCTTATAACCAAGACTGACTGAATTTTTTGAAGTACAGAAAATTATTAAAATAACACAACAGCAATAAGTGGTCCTGCTCCTGCACAAGAATATAGATTTCGTTTGATTTGTGCATCTGAGAAACAAAGAGTTTTAGAGCCGCATTGAGTATTCTTTCAGTGTATGTGAAAATACATCACATTTTACATTATCATTTAAACGTTATCTTTCATTATGTACTACCTCAGGCATTTGCCAAGTCATCGAAAAAGGAGGAAACAGTAACAAGAGTCTGCCCGCGTCCAATTTCAAGCAATGCCTGCTCTAAAAAAGTTTT